GTTCTATAGCGCTCCCTCCAGAAGAGCCCGTAAGATTTGCAGCAGCGTCCCCCAAAGCCAGAAAGCGCCCTCCCCGTGCTTGCCGGGGCTTTGAGAAGCACCTCAAGGGGCTTGAAAAGGCTTGGTTTATCTTTCCAGAGGCTGGAGGACCCGCCGGTGGGACGCGGAGGGGAGGGGAAGGAGGGGAAACCGCTCTCCAAGCCCCGGCAGCGTCCCCGGTTGCTCAAGGCCACCAGAGGTTGGTTATGTTGGTGGTTTATTTGCCACACACTCAGCTTCCCTTTCCCGCTGCCTCTCCCCAAGCCAGGGGGATGTTTCTCTTCAAACTCCCCGCCAAAAAAACAACAATAACAAAAAAAAAACCACCCAAACTGCTGGAGCAAAGGCAGGGGCGACCACCCGAGCCAGCTGAGCCTTCCCGTCAGGGCCGGGGGGCACATCGGGGCAGCTCCGAGCCCCGCTCCGAGCCCCGGGGTGGGAGCTGTCACTGCCCTCCTGGAGCCGGGCACGTCCCCGGGACCCCTCCGAGCCCCCCCGGGCGGGGACGAGGGGGCTGCGAACCCCCCGAGCACCGGGCAGAGCCCCGAGACGCGGCGGCGGCCGACGGGGACGAGGAGGAGGAGGAGGAGGAGAAGGAGGAGGAGGAGAAGGAGGAGGAGGAGGAGAAGAGCCCGGCCGGAGCCGGCCCCAGCCCCGCGCCCCTTCCCGGCCCCCCCACCCCCGGCTGCAGGAGACCCCCGGGCGGTCCTGCCCCCCTTACCTTAATAGTGCCGTCCATCTAGAATAACTTCCAGCCGGGACCAGCAATATTCCACACATTGACCCGGTTTAGCCTGCGACCGACGCCTCCTGAAGTTTTTTATCCTTCTCCCTCTTTTCGCTCTTCTCGCTGCCCTTCCAGCGGTGTTGCTGCTCTCTCCGTACCCCCTCTCCCCCTCTCTCCCTCCCTTCCTCCCTCTCTCTCTGTCTCTCTCTTTTTTTAACTTTGGTTGTTGCAGCAGAGCGAAAAAGAGACAGTTAACCGGATGAAACGTTTTTTTCTGCTAATTTTGGGAAGTGAAGTCACTCGAGGAGGAAACTTTCGTCTCTCCGCTGGTCCTGCCTTCTTGTTGAAAATATATATATTTTACATACAGGATATTTGCTCCATTTAGATAAGAAGGGGCAGAACAATGGGTACCTCTGTCACAGCTCTTGTTTGTCGCTGGGGCGGCCAGTCCAGCGCAGCCCTTGCCTTGCACCCCAGCCCGTCTTAGCCAGCGCCGTGTGTCATCCCACAGTTTAGTTTAACGTGGGGTTTTGCCATTTTTTTTTTCTTTTTGGCCGGAGCAGCCTCAGCCTGACTCACTGAATTTCCGTCTCTTCCCACAGATTTTTTTATTAATGCGTTTTCCAGTCACCGGCAAAAATTAAGGAGGGAAAACCGTAAATACGGTTCGGTCGCGGGGAGCAGGGGGAGAAAAGAAAAAAAAAAAAAACAAAACAAACCAACAAACACATATTTAAAGCACACTTCGCTCCCCCTCCTTCACGCCTCCCAGCAAGGAGCGTGAGACGAGGGTCCGGTCCCTGCCAGAAATGAGCGGTAAGTGCAATAATGTAAGACAGACAGACGGCTCCAGCAATTAAACCCAGGCTGGGAGCGGGGCTGCGGGGAAGCGGAGGCTTTTTGCCACTTTCGCCCCTTCCCCTCACTCCCACTCGTCTCGAGGGGTGGGATGTCGGGCTCTGAGGGGGAGCCACCGGGATGGATGGGTGTCCAGCCATCTCTTGCAGGGGCTGGGAATCCTTTCCCGCTCACAGTGCGAGCCTCTCGCTAAGCTGATAAAACCTCACTCAGACGAGAGGAGGGAAACCCACTTTGCAAGTTAAAAATGACAACAATTCGCAATGATTGTCAGACCAGCTGAAATTTCCCTTCCCGTGCCGCGTCCTAACGGGCACCGCGCACAAAAAAAACCCCTCAACCACCAGCCTTTAAATCTGTTTTCGGACCTGGCCAGCCCCTGGCGTGCAATTTGCCTTTTCATTCAAACGGCAGCGACCGGCAGAGAAGAAAACGCGCTTTTCCTTTTTCCGGGAAAAGCTGCAAGCTTCCGAAGGAGCCGAGGAAAGGAGACAATACCCGCCTGTGCGGCTCCCCCGCTTCCCCCCTCCCTCGCAAAAATAAGCAGCAGCGGAACACATCACGCAACACTCGGGGCTCCTTTCGGCCCCACTTCTGCAAACGCCGCACAGGGAAAGAGCAGAGAGGGGGGGGAATAAAAGGAGGGGAAGCCAAGGAAGAAAAGTGTCAAGGCAGGAGGACTCTCCTGCACGTCGGTGGGAAGGATGGATTACCTTGTCCAGTGCCAGTTGTGTCCAGGCTTTTTGTTGCCCCCTGTCTTTAGTCCGACCACGGGGAGGGGGGCTGGGGGTTGGGGGAAATCAAAATGATATCCAAAGTTGTCCTGCACCCGCCCCTTCCAAAGGGGAAACGCAATAATGCCACTAGTGTTTCTACTCGGCTGCGGCAGAGATGCCTTATTAATACTTTATTTCTGCAAGCCCGAGGCTGGCAGGGGAGAGCTGCAGATCCCCCTTGCCCCTCCCTCCCCCTCCCTCCCCCTCCTCCGAAATTAGCCTCATCAATTCAGCTACAATTTTGGAGTTCAGATGCAGACACGGGGCTGAACGTGACCAGACCTGGAGGTTCTGGGCTCGCTGCTTGCCAGCGATTGAGGCCGCCCGCAGCCGGGAGGTGAAGGGGGGGGAGCGGAGGGACAGCCCGGCCGCCTCCCCTCTCCCCACACCCCTGGCCCCCCCTGTCTGCTCCACAATCCAGGGGTCTGCGCCGGGGTCCCCGGAGAGCCGCACATCTGGATGCTGCTAGCGGGGTCAGGTCCCCCCTCGCCTAGGGCCACAAGAACCGGAGTTCAATTAAAAAAGAGATGGCGGTTAACCCTTTGCTTTCCTCATCGCTCTTGCCTTTTCCCTGCCCTCCGTCCCGGCTCTTCCCCCCCACCCCACATCCCCGGCAATGTTCTCTCCCCGCTCCCCCCTCGGCGTTACCACATGGCAGGAGGCTGAAAGGACTAGAAAAGCGGGAGGTGAAAGGGAAGAGTGAAACGCATCCTTTCAAACCCCAAATGGTTTCCTCTCTAGACAACATTCCCCACCAGCCCCCAAGAGCAACGAGGGTGGGGGGTGAGGGAGAGGACAGGCTGAGGAACCTGAACGCGAAAGGAAAGGGGAAAAAAATCCCGTGGTAAGAGCTTCTGTCACCCACGGACCCCACAGGGCACTTCGGGTTTTGGCTGCGGGACCGACAGTGGGGAGAAACCACCTGAAAACGTGCCCAGCTCACGGGAGAGGAGCCCAACCCTCCCCTGGCAGCCTTCGGCCGGCGCCGGGTGAGGGGACAAACAAACCCGGCCCCCGCCGGGCATCTCCAGAGCTGCCAAGGCGGGGAGGTGCCAAACAGACCCCCCTCCTTCCCACCTGGAGGTATTTTAGGAACCCGGCTCTGCGTTTTGTGGCCAGACGGGCACCGTGACCCTCAGGGGTTTATTTTGCGTGTCTGGGGATGGTTTCAAACCGAGCCAGGTCGTGTCTCTTGTTAGATCGGGTCCGGCGGGGATGTTCCTGCCTTACCTCTTGGATTCGGGCTAAAACAACATTTGCGAAAATCCAAGAGATAAAATGACGGGCGAAATTGTTAAACGCTGTCGCAAACAAGCCGAACAATCTATTCTTTTCCTCCCAAATAACGTAACAATAGAAGCTTTGCTTCACTGGTGTTTTGTTTATTTGGTTTTTCTTTCCTCCTTTACCCCCCTCCAAAAAACCCACCCCTGAAGTTACCTCAAACTCTTTGAATAAGGCTGGAATATTCACAACCTCTGAATCGTCCCAGGTGATTGTGCGGTGACTTTGGTAATTTTTTCTGTTATTTCACTGAGTATTTCACTGTGTTTAAGCGAGAAGGGAGCAAAGCCCGGCAGAGAAAGCCGCGTACGGGGCTGAGCGATGAGCGCGACTTTTAATCTGTTGCTCGACGTTTGGATGCACATGTACATACAGCAAAGGAATTATCATCTGTTTAATGTGGTTACCACCAGACATCTGGAAAATCATTTGATCTTGGCAACCGCGGAAGATTTCAAATGCTTACACTGGGACAGGCTGGTAGAAATCAGTTACTCAATTCAATTATTGGGAGGATGATTTTTTTTCTTTCACTGCCCTTATGAATGAAACGAAATTCTCGAGCTTTTAATGAGTTCATTATTGATCTCAAGCCCTCGACATGTCCCCACCTCCTCTCCTCGTCTTTATTACTGGGTTACACCGGCTGCAGCCTCACCCGGAGAAGGTGAAAACGCCGATTTTGGGCGATCCGACCGAAATGATTAAGGACACTCTGGGGGGATTGGGCCCGTCACTGATTCACGTGCAGTACCAGAGGAATTAACCCCTCAGTGTAGTTCCATGCCGGGAACTACAGGACTTCGCGGGACTGCAGAACCCCAAAGATAACGGATTTTCTGCCTGGAATTCCCACGGGATTAGCGGGCATCACTTCGCAATTCAAACCTTCGAGTTATTCCATAGGAATAAACATCATGGAAACCTTCCCGAGCCTCAGTCGCAGGCTAGAAATAGGATTTTCGGAGGATGGGAGAGGGGATTTGGCTTCTATCACCCCATCTGACCCCAACAGCATCAGCCGAGCTCTCCTTCACGCCAGCCTGGGGTCGCTGTGAACTCATGTGGTGAACAGGGGAGGGGAGCCCCAAAAAACCTGGCAGCCACGCCTTGGCTTTGTCGCTAGAAAGTGGCTCATTTTCCATTAACTGAAACAAAGTGTCCTCTTTGTTGTAACCAGCTTCTCTATACACGTAGCTTGTGCTATATATTATATATATTATACCTTGTGCTAGCAGTATTGTGTGTGTATATATATATATATATACACTCCTATATATTCCTTTCTCTATAAACATGTTTCACAACGTTTCCCATCATTCGGTACTCGCAGAAGGCCAAGGTTTATCCCTCTCCAGCCTTTACCAGACGGGAAAATCTCCCCCAGCCTCAGTGAACGCTTGGAATCTCTGGGTCTGCCTTTCCTCTGGCACCGATTCGGTCGCAGAATGAAAAAAACGAGACGCGTTGTGTTTATTTTCTAAACCCACAACCTTACAAGCAAAAAAGCCCAAACTGCAGCCCTGGGATTTGATCCCCAGAAACGAATCCCAATTCTGAACTAAACTAATTGGGCAAAGCTCTGCTTTTTAGCTCCGGCAATAAAAAGGAATCAGTGGAGTGTTCCAGCCCCACGGCTGAAGGATCGTGTCCCTCCTCCCTACAGGAACAGCCCGAGAGATTTGGGAGCTCGAAGATTTAGGAAGTTATTCCCTGCTAATCGGTGCTAAGTAAAGCATAATGTCTTAAAAGCGCTGCGGAGAAGATGCAGTAGCTTTGAAGCTGCATCGCAATTAGGAGGAGAGCGGGGCGAGCAGTGTCCTGGCTGCTTTTATTTGAGCTCCATGTCCCAATAAAACCACCCCCGCCCTCCCTTCCTCCCCCACCCCGCGATTATTGGAAAGCTAAGGCACAAAACCCAAAAATACTGAAGGCCAAAAAAACAGACTGCAGCGCACTAGCTCCAAACGTCTGGCCCCTCGCTTGAGGCCATAATTAATTTGAGATTTATTTTTATTGGAGAACCCAGTCTCGTCTGACCTTAGCCAAACAAGGCTGCAGCGAGACCCTTGATGCGCTTGAATGGAACAGAATATTTCTCTCTAACTTCTCTTCAGGCGTCCGTGCCTGCTTTGAATTTGTTCCTTAGACTCCATATATTTGGAGATTTACAGGAAAGATTTAAAGCATTTTTTCCCCACTTAGCATTTACTCTCTTTTTTTTTTCCTTCCCTTTTCGCTCCCCTTTTCCCTCCACACCTCCTCTCCTTCTAAACATAAGAGCGTAGGAAAGGCTGGAATACAAAATTCCCTGGATCCAGCATACTGGAGGGGGGCGTTTTTCTGTAAATTGTGAAAGAATGGAGCCATTAGAAGGTCGCAGAGCTGGGGAGGGGGTTGGTTGCTGCTCTCTAAACGCGAGGGTCACTGGAAAAAGCTCGTCCCTTGTGCCCGAGGGTCTGGTTTATTTTAGAAAGCTCCAACATGCCACATTTCCAGGAGACAAACAGCTTCTCTCCCACCTTCTCGACCTGAATTCCAACCGTGTCTTGAAGGTAAAGCGGGAAGGGAACAACAACAACAACAACAGCCCTTCCCCACGCAGCTCTGGGGCTGAGCACGGGGAAAAGTCGGGACACCGGGAGGTGGGAAGGGATCTTTCTCCGTAAAATAGAGAGGTAGGTGCAAACAAGAACCAAACCCTTAAGCACCAACTTGTCACAAGGCATTAATCAACGACTTGCT